TTTTTATGTGTTCAACATTAAGCAATCATAAAGTTTTAAGTTTCTAAGAATTATGAATCATTATCAACTATAATCTATAATGTGATGACTAATGGATAAAATTAAAAAGAAAAAATTTTTATTATATTCTGTACATTAAAATGAACCTTAAAATTAGAAAAAAAAAACAATAAATATTAAAGAAAATTGCTCATTAATATCTAAAAAATAATTTTCATTTTGTCGAAGTGTTTATTTTTAAATATTAAATATCATTTAAAATATGTTATTCATTAAAAGAAATATTGAATTCATCAAAATAAATTTTTTATAAGAAATTATTGTAAACATTTCTTATTTTGAATTAAAAAATATCCGAATATTTTTGTAATATAAGAATTCATCTCTTTTTTATTCTTTTTTGAATATTTAGATAATTAATTAAATCAAAATTTGTTTATCTTCTGATCTTTATATTATATTTTAATATATTGCAAAACATTTTTATTGTTTTTTTTATTATATATTTGTTTTAAATATAAAATATAGACATTAAAGTTATATCAATATTTAAATATTTTTGGTAATTAAGTATGATTTCCTCAAATATTTAGATCATATAAAGATTTTTTATATAATTATAAATTAAATGACAATACGTGATAAAATTTTACAATAATATCTAAAATTAAATATTGCAATATTTATTTATTTAATATTAAATACTACTATTTAATACAATATTTAATTAAATATTAAAAATTATAATATACAATATTACAATAATTTTCTTTCTAATCTAATCTTGATTTTTATGTATATATACATAATTTTTAATTAATATTACATAATTGTATCTGTTATATTCTGTTATGTTGTTTTCTTGTTTAATAAGAATTGTTGTTTAGTAAAATTGAAATTATATTTTAATAATTTTTAATCTTTTCGAAATCACTGGACATTTGTTATTAAGAAAAATTAATAAAATATTAAAATCATTGAAATGTTAAAAATAATAATAAAAATGTTTATAAAGTAATATATATATATAATATAAATATACTTCATTATAAAATTCTGACTAGTATTTCGTTTTCATAATTTTTCAAAATTCAACTAGTTAAGAATTATTATCATATTATTAAAGATTGATAGTTGTACAATATTATTGCGAAAAGATTAATGGAAAGATATTTTTTAAAGAGATATGAAAAAACTATTTTTAATCGATATTAAGAAATGATATTAACAGAATATGAAATCTTTATCTAATAATAAATCTTATAATACCTAGAATTTAATACAGTAATATCCTGATTAACTTGATATATAACGCTTAAGATATGTTCTTAGAAGAGAAAATATTAATTGTTTATATATTAAATCATCTTAATATATAAACAAAAATAAGGAAATAATTAAGGAAAAAAAGAAAAAAAAGAAGTTTTACTTTAATTTTAAGTTACATTTATCTTAACTTTTCTAGATAATCTGATAATCTTTATAATTTATTAATTAATAATCTTGAAAACCTTATTTTTATAATTAGATAAATTTTGATAGATTTGTTAATAATTGAAACTTATAAATTTTAATTATCAGATTTTGCGATTACAATTTTTATCGTCGTTTCATATTTTACATATTATATTTTATATTATTTTAAAAAAATTTTGTTCAAATTTCGTCGCATGAAAATAAACATTTGTAAAAAATCCACATTCTTTCAAAAAAAAAAATATAAAAATTATTATTTTTAATTATAATGATTAAATAGTCATTTTATTGGTAAAAAAATAAATAAGTTAAATCTCAAAGTAAAGCAAACTAAAAACTAAATATTAAATATCTTATATTTCTTTTAATTTGTTTTTTAAATTGTATTTATTGTTATCTGGTTATTCAAAATTGATACCAATTGAAATAGAATATTTTTAAAGTTCTGAAAAAAATATTTTATTCGCAAAAAATTTTCACTACATGAAAATGAAAAAGTCGAACGACTTGTCACATTTTATTTTATAGAATGTCATAAAATCATAAATCATAAAATCATAAATATAAATCAATATATGTCAAAATTTTTGAAAGCTATTCAATTTAAAAATATTAAAAATTATTTAAAAATAGCATATGCTACGTGTCTTGAAATCAATGATAACATTCTTTCAAATCTAATATCAAATTAATGTTTTAGAAATCTATCATATTAAAAAATAATAAAAATAATATTAAAAAATGTTTTCATTCATCAAAATAATATAATATTTAATTTTTGAATATATTCATTAAATAGTAAATTTAAAGAAATCAAAAACAATTAACCTATTGTGAAAGTTATTAATGTTAGTATATTTTCATAATAATTTTTACCAATTAAAAGTAGTAAAAAAATTATAAATAAGAGATATTTAGAGGATACAAATTATTTTTATTTTTTAAAATGCAATATTATAGTGTATGATCTCAAAGATTTGGTAATCTATATTTACTGCAAATCTATCGTGTCTTGCATTTTAATATATTAGATATTTCATTTAATCTTTAAGTGAAAAACTAAATATATCTCTAAAACTATAATTTATTTTAAAAAATATTTAATATATAATGTCGAAATCTTTCTTTCGATATCTCTTTACTTCAAATGTCTTTTTTTAATCATTCGCAAATAGAATGGGAACTTTGTGAGTAGTTTTGTGAAAGAATTTTACTCTTTACATCGCTCTTCATGGTTTATACCGCATTATTTAGAATTTTGATATTTTTTAGCTTTATCTTGTATACTTTAATCTTATTATCTCAAATATAACATTCATTTGTTCAATATTCTCATAACATTCTTTTATTCATTAATTACTATAAATTAATATAAATTCATTAATTTACTATATAATAATTATATAATATAATAATTATTATGTAATATATAATAATATAATATATAATAATATATTATATAATAATATAATTATATAATATAAATTAATATAAATTCATTAATTTACTATATAATAATTATATAATATAATAATATATACACAATGAAATAATACATACATATACAAAAAAATCTCTTTTATTTACATTCAATTATAATACATTTAAATATATTTTTAATTAATTTATTTAATTTATCACTTTTTTATTAATGATTTATAAAAATAATATAACTTATAAAAATAATAAATGAATTGATATCGTGTCATACATTAATTTTAAATATAAATTTTATATAAAACATATTTAATATGGACGGATAATTGTGTCATATATTAATTTTAAATATGTATAAATTTTTTATAAAAAACATTTAATATGGACGGATACTTATGTTATATATTGATGTTAAATATAAATTTTATATAAAACACTAACTATTTGATAAAATTTCATTACAATAAATGAAATAATATTATTATCTTAAATAAATAAAAAATATTTAAGTTATAAAAGTATTTAAATTATTATTTTATATGTAAAAATATTCTTTTTGTACAATAGAATGATGATAATTTGAGATATACTTCAAATGGGAGTTTTTATAAAAATATGAAATACCTTTAGAGGGTGGATTCTAAACATCAAAACGGTAAAAAAAGTTTATATATACATATCTCTGATAAGATTTAATTAAAGAGTTATAAGCATTTTAAGTTTATATTAGATAAAATGAGACGGCGAAACAGCGAGAACGCTCAACTGTGCGGCAGTACCATAATGCAATGTTATTTGCGTAGCGGAGCCTCATAAAAGTAAATATATGATATTTTTTTATATACAATTGATTATTTCAAATAGTGTAATGTAATATAATGCACGTATTATGTAATTCTTTACTTAACGAAACTCTTAAACTCTTTTACTTAAAAAATTTATCTCGAATAAGTAAATTTTAAAGTATTAACATATACACCACTTATATAAATCCATAGTTAAATTGTTGTATGATACTTAATCTGCTTACTAAAATCTATAAGAGCAAGTCAAAATACACTTTTATAAGATTTCAAATTAGAAAGATTGAATGTATTTTTTATTAATGATACTTGAATCAATTTGAAATTTATAGACCAATTGAAGCATTAATTGAAAACTTCTATTTCTATTTCATTTAAATTCAATATTTTTTATTCCAATATAAGATTGCTAAAGAGAGAAGTTAAAATTCAATATCTATATTTTAATATAATATTAATGCTACTATCTTATATCCATTAAAGAAATCATATAAGTATTGCATTTTTCTTTTTCACATTACTATTGCATATTAGATTTTTTTTTATTTACTATTCACATTAATTTCTTTGAATAAAATTATTTCGATTATTATTTATTATTATACAATTTTATATGAAAATTATTTATTTAAAACTTTATTCTACAAATATTCAAATATATATTTCATCAAATTCTGAACTCCGCGACGCAATAATATATTACTGAAATAATGTTGCTAACAATTGAAAGCTGGGCATTAGAAAAAGAGATAGAAAAAATAAGATAGTAATATTCGAAATGAAATGTTATGTTTGTATATTTTAAATATAAGAATACGAAAACCTAAGTCAACAATCTTTTCCATTGCTAAGATAGTGTTACTTTGTTCTGGATTCAGTTCGTTCATTAATAGTAAGTTCGTTCAGAAAAGTAATATTCATGTAACGTATATTAGAAATAAATGTGTAAAAAAAAAAAAATTAGTGAATTTGTAATATTCATTCAAGCGTATAAAAAAAATAATTGTGATATATATGCATTTTTTATGGATATATGATATTAATATATAATATTGGTTCATATTAATAACTAATATCCAGATTGACATTTCTCTCTGCATAAGAATGAAAAATATTTAGTGCAAGTGAAATAAAGATAAATATTTTTTAATGATTTGATTGAATAATTTATTAATCTGAAATTCAAATTGATTCAAGTATCATTAATATTTCGGATTTTCTTATACATGTGAAAATAATTTAAAAAATAAATGTGCATATAAAAATACATTCAACCTTTCTAATTCGAAATCTTATAAAAGTATGTTTTGATTTGTTTCTATAGATTTCGATAAGTATAGTAGGTTGAATGAAATACAAGAATTTATCTATAATTTTAAATGAAATATTAGTATAATCATTATATAATTCTAAATATTGTGAAATTTGCTAATTTATCTAAGGTAAGTTTCTATTAAATAATTAATTACATAAATTTTAATTTGCATAATTAAAAATTTTTTTAAATGTAATAAAAATGATATAAAAATGTTAGATGACATAATATTTATGTACATTGTATATTATCTTATAATTCATTTGAAATAATCAATTATATATAAAAAAGTATCAGTATATTTACTTTCATTGAGAGACTCCGCAAGTGACATTGCAATACGGTACGCCGCGCACCCAGTTGAACGTTCTCGCTGTTTCGCCGTCTCATTCTACCTAATATAAACTTAAAATGCTTATAACTCTTTAATTAAATCTTATCAGAGATATGTATATATAAACTTTTTTTACCGTTTTGATGTTTAGAATCCACCCTTCAAAAGTGTCTTCCATTTTTATAAACCTATATATGTGAAATAATTTTATTGTTATAATTTATATTCTAATTATATTAGTATTATAATTTTTTCAATATTTTTTTAAACCAATATTTCTTTATCTGAACAAATATAATATATATGTTTATATTAATAAAATGTCTTAATAATGACTAATTTATGATATAGAAAATTATCTTTTCATTCTAAAGTACATATTATTAAAATTAAATATAATTATTTTATTATTATATTATTTAATTATTTAAATATTTTTTGAAGTCAAAAATATATTAAAAAATATTTAAATAATTAAATATTTGCGAGCATATATAGATTATCTTCGATATATTTTATATTCTTATATTCTCTATTTTTAAAAGAAGATTTTTATAAGAAAAATATGGTAATTGAAATACCAAAAATCAATAAAATGATTATTGAAAATGATGATAATGTTGATGCTCCGTTACAAGAATTTTCCGAACAAGAACATTCTTCCCAATATACTCCATTTTCATAAACTCCCCAGTTACAAACACCCGTAACTCCGGTACTAGATACTGAAGCACATCGACGGATCACCTGGCGCCATCTACCGTTCCCTTTAAAAATTAATTTGAATAATAAATTCATTTAAATACAAATATACAAATTAATAATCAAATGAATACAAACAATATAAAGAACTAAATATGATATTTTAAAAAAAGAAAACTTACAAATAAAACCACGAGGACTCTGATGTGTTATTTTAACACAGAATGTACCGGGCATATTTGATTCTTCACTATTGCATTCTACAGCAATATTTTTTTCTTTATCAAATTTTGTATATGCTCCACATAAATCTTCCCCTTTAGGATCAGTGTCACTACTACACTGATAACAGCGAATGGCTTCAGTTCCTAAAATTTATTCATATGAATTAGAAATAAATCGAAATTAATATTTTATAACCTCAAATTGAGCATAATCAATATTATCAATTTTTTATTCCTTAATAAATTTATTATTACGAATTTTTATTATTAATATGAAATAATAATGTTATATTAATACAAATTTTTATATTATTATCGATTATAATAATATTATTATTATTATATTATAAGAAATATGAAAAAAGAAAAAAGATTTTTGTTTTATATCTAATAATTATACTTAATAATATATTTAATAATATATTTTTTTTCATCATTTCCAAAACCATACATTTTGATTCTGATAAATAAAATTGCATTTTTCTCAATATAGGGATAAATCTATATAGTTATTATTTGATATTTACTCACCTACTATTATGAATAATAATAATAAATAGAGATATATTGTTCTAAATAAATACGAATACATATTTAATTTAAGTAATAATATATCTTGCAACACAGTTTACTCTTCGTCTACGATAAAAAGGCGTGGCATCTGTTTACATCTTCATTCAATTACCGATTCCCTTTCTATCAAATATTTTTATTACAAATTATTACAATTTATGCAAATATTTTATGGTATTTTTATGGCTTTGATTCATTGTGTATCAAATCTACAGATTTAATTTTGCATTATTATAAAAGAAATTAATTTATATTTTATTTTAAAACTTCTATGTATATCATACCTTAAAACTTCTAGACTAAAGATACATTTTCATGTAAATAAAAATCATATTGTCATGATACTATATGTATTGTAATAAACTTAATTCCAATGTTAATTTAATTAATTAATTCGCATTAATGTCAACGCGACATCTAATTTTCATCTTTAATCTAAAATTATATATTACATTTATATAATATTATATTATATAAAACTAGATAATTGTATTGATGTAAAGATTATCTAGATGATATCACATATTGGCGAAATAATAATAACAGTTTTTTCTTCCAAAATAATATATAAATATTTACGAAATGTAATTTAATTATTGTTAAGTTTGAAACATATATATTTGATTTAATTTTATTTTATACATATTTTTAATAATAATATATTTATAATTTTTAATAATAATATATATTTAATAATAATATATTTAATAATTATATATATGCTCTTATTAAATAAAAGTTTAATATAGATGCAAAGCTTTTCAATTCAACAATATATATTTTAAATTAAGATTACATGATTACATTTTGAATTAAAATTACATAAATTATAATCTCTTTTGTTTATAATGTTTGTAACATATATTTAATACATAATATATATATTTTGAATTATTTATTTATAGTATCTACATTTTTTATTTATAAGATATCATATTTTCTTCATTATCTTTGCTCCAATTTATTTCTTGAATCCATATATATAGATTGTATATCTATAAGCATATATGATCTAAGATTTTCACGATAACGAAAGTTACGTCAGTTATTATTATAATTATAAGATTCACATAAATATTTTGCATAATAACGTTATGATTTTTGTGTGTGAGAGATAATAAAGTGAGAGATACTGTGATATAGCATGCAATTATTTTTAATAATATGATATTTTTTATAACATCAAAAATCATAATCAAAATTGTCATAATTGTGATCAATAAAAAAATGATAACTTATGATCGTATGCAAATGGCCTTAAAAATCACAATTTATCATTACATGAAAATGTAACATAAGGCATATAATGAAAAAAGTAGTATCGAATCCTCTCTTTTATTTTAGTACGGCATCATAGAGCCAGTTATTTTATTCTGTGTTGACCAGTCTCTATTCTTTGTTGTAATTATTTAGGTTATGTTTATCAAAATGATATTGATATCTAATTGTTTTTATATAACTTTAATTTTAAAAAGTTATTTAAATTAAAGTGATTTGGTGATTACACAAGCTTAGATTCACAATATTCTATATATTTTGTGAGGATGGACAAGAGGTATTAGAAAAAAAATTAAAAATAAAGATTTATTATATATATTGTATGTATTATTGATATAATTTTGATATTAGTGTTATGTTTGTAAATACATATTAACAACCGAAATATATTAATATTTTTTTGGTTTTTTTTTTCTTCTAGAAATGGTAAATAGTTATTCTGATTAAATAGAGTAATTATCCTATTATATATATATTAAATATAGAAAAAAAAGAAATAAAATAATGTTTTTTTCTTATGCTTTCTTTGTTAATTATATAATAAGTTTCATAAAATTTGAATTAAAATATCTTTTAAAGTAATAATTTTTATTTTTTAATTATTTTAATAATTATTTTAATAAATGAATAATTTTTTTACAAGTTATATAGTAATCGAATTTATTAGAAAATACATGATTTTATTTAATAAAATAAATTGGATTTTTTATATCTAAATACCCATTTATAATAACACCATATTATATCTTTTTTATACATTTTCATATACTTTTATAAATATTTTAATTTATTTTATTATTATGAAATATTTTTTCATAAAATGAATAATTCACGAATTATTTATAAAATCATCATATTATAAGATTTCTTATAATATATAATATAATAATACTATATGTTAATGTATAATATAATAATATTATATATAATATTTTAATATATTATAATATACTTAGTTTCATAAACTTTAACAATATATTAAAAATTAACTTTAATGAATTAAACTAACTAAACAAAAATAAATTTCAAAAATTGTCTGTTGCTATTATGTTATAATTAATTCTTGTTCATTTTTTTATTTATACCATTGATAATTATATGTGATAAATATATAATTATATGTTAATTATTTTTATAGGACATCTTTGGAGATTGATTCTAGAAATTAAAATAAACATAAAAGTATATATTTGATAATTTATTAATAATATAATACGTTACTAATAATATAATAATGATTTCGATTATAATTTTTGTTTATTAAAAAAAATATTAAAGAACATTTTAATTAAAAAAATCATAATAAATAAAATTAATTAATAAAATTAAAAAAATTAATTTAAATATAAATAAATAAAATAATACTTATAATACAGAGAAATAAATATATCTATATATTATAGTAATATTTTTATATTTTTATTGTTATTATATATTATATATTATATATTGTTAATTATATTTTTATATTTTTATTGTTATATTTTATGTTTTAATAAAAATTTTTGACTAAAACATTTATTGCCAGATGAAATATGGTGTTTTTTAATGGTTTTGTTCATCTAAGTGCTATGAATATTATTTAGTGCTTATTCGGATTTTGAGAGGAATGTTTCAATGTAAAGAATAAGAATGTTAAATTATTCTTGATTACTAGCCAATCTTTATGAAAAGATATCTTCTTAAAATTGAATTTTCTGAAGATTGATAGAAAATTGATTTGATTCATAAATATTATTTTCATCATTAGTATAAATTTATTTTTCTTTTAGATAAGTCAAATTATCTTTTTCTAATTGCTGAGAAATAATGCAAATGAGAAATGAATTTTCAAATAGTTTTTTAATCATCTTTGAAATTTTATAAATAATGATACATTCTGTAGTGAAAAAACTTATATTTTTTAATAGATTGGTTAATTGAAATATAAACAAACTTTAATTGTTTCATTTCTTTTATTAAGAATATTTTTTTTTTATTATGAATATTTTTTATAATGTAAATTCAAAATTATTTTAAACTTTTTATTGATTGTTATTATTAGCAAAATTATAAATCAATCATATTGTAATCTGCTGTTTAGCACGAATGTTGGTTGAGATGAATACGATTAATGTGTTAAATTAATGTCTATATTATACAGACCATATGATTTATATGGAATTGATAAAAAGTCTTTTGAATCAACTGTTTCAAAAAAGAAAGCAATAATTAGACTATTAGCAAGCAAATAGTATGGAATAGTTCTTCAGTAATTCTAATGAAATAATAATTATCCTCGTATTACAAGTATTTATCATTGGGTATAGAATTTCTCAAATTTAAGGTAAGTTTGCCTGCAATAATTTTTATTATATATTATTGAATTTTTATTAAATTAAATTAAATTTTAAAATTGAGATAATTTATAATTGGATAATTAATAATTCAATTACTATATTAATCCTAAAATTGTGAAAGATGTATATATACTCTTATATTATATTAATATACAAATATATTGTATATTATGGATTGTATTATATCATATTATATATTATATATTACATCATATTTTCATTAGATAGATTCTTTGTTTAGATTGTGCAATAGTTAAAATTAAATGTGAGACCAATTCAATATAGTATAGTATGGCTATAAATGGAATAGAATATATGGATATTACAATATTGAGATATCAAGTATGTTATATCTAAAATATAAAATCTATAGTTAACCCTTTTCTATATTATTAAGAAATACATTACATAACTTTTATATATATAAAATTTAAATACACTGCATTAATCTGCATTAATCTTGAGAAACATTAAAAATTATAGTGTGTTTTGAATTATAGTTTTATTAATCTAAACATACAAAGCATCCAAAATGTAAACATAGATTAATATTGGATTATATTTAAAGATTCATAACTTTTGATATTATGAAAATTAATATTTTTGAATTTTATGCATCAAATATTGTTAACAAATATAGATCATAAACTTTATTTTTCTAAAACAAATTTTATTCTTTGAAATATTTAATTTCCTTTTCTTTCATTGAACAATTAAGTGTTAACTTCTTTTTTAATTTGTGAAAATAGCATCTCTATACAAAGTACTTATATATCTCATATTATTTCAGCATGAAATTCCTGTTACTTTCATATGTAAATTTCTGGGGCAAAATGCGAAAATTATTCATTTATAACTGAAGTCACTATAATCGAAATTATAATGATAGTCTCGTATTAATTATAATTTTTCATTTCGATCAATATTTATTATATATTATTTCGGTCAGTTGTTTTATTTTATATTTTATTCTCGCATGAATTTTTTAGATATTTCGCTTTCCATCTATTCCTATTTAAATTTTTATTTCATAATATACAATTAATTATGAAATTAAGTTAAATTATTTTGAACTATGCTTGTATTCAGTTATCATATTGTATCATCAAAAATTCACTAATGAGTTTTCTTTTATTATATTTTCATTTATCTTATTTTTGGTTTGACGAAAATATTTTTATATTTTTTCCATTATTACATTTTCAATTTTATTATTTTCTGATTAGTTAGTTTCTTTCTGTTCACAAAATATAAAATTGTCGACAAAATTATCAAATCCATAATTATTTTTCATAAAATGTTTAATTTATTCTTTAAGAAAATTTACTTCAGTGATGTAAAAATTAAATACGTAATAAAACGAAATTCAAATGAAAAGTGTAGTTATATATTTAATTCAATTCTTATGTTTAATTTTCATATTAATTTATTTTAATATATTTTTTATTATAGTACAATCGCGCCACAAAAATATTAAACTGTTTCGATTAAATTTTATTTTTAAATTTCTATTTAATACAATTTTTATAACAGCTTGAATCTAAAAAATTTTGTTTTTAAATAAAAAAAGAAATTAATTTATCGTAATTGTTATATATATTTAGAAATTTCTATAACTTCATTTTTGTTTGTAATATATATTATAGTTTTAAATATAGTATAACCAATAAACAAACGAACAAATTAAAATAGAATTTTAAAATATGAAATTATATATTGCATATATATTATATATGGAAAAAAGTATTGTAATATAAATGTATAGTTGTATAAAATATATATAAGTAGTATAAAAATTATTCCGTTAAATCGATTTTTTTAAAAGTTCTAGGCATTTGTATCATAACAATATCAAGCTATGTCAATACTTTTGTCCAGAATTGATTTGTAACAAATGTTAATGAATGTAAACAAACATTATAAGTTATATATCTACATATGTTAATATTGTTGTGTCCTTAAATATGTGGGATTTTCAGAAGAAGGCCAAAGTTCGGGAGTGTTGATTCAGCGCGAATATACTTTGGAATGAAACTTTGAGTTTTATTGAAAATTTTCTTTACAAACGCGAATTATTTTTTGCTAAACTCTAATTGTGATTCCAAAATTATATGTTTGTCTCTTTTAATAGAATGTGTTTCTGACGTTGCTTCTAGTAATTCTTTTTAATTTTTATCTACATAATTAAATAAGGATTTATATACAGGTAAGGAATTTTCAAGAAGAAACTGTATATAACGTTCTTATTATAGTTCTTATTATAGTTCTCATTATAAACTTTTAATAATCGATATTTTTATCGATAATTCGATAATATTGTCACGAAATCGATACCAGATGAAAATAATTATGAAGTTATTTTGTTTAAAATTTTTTTTATTTAAAATTATTATAAGATATTGTTAAATTGTAACAATATTTCATTAAATATTTAATATGTTCAAAACATAGTTGAATAATAGTAGCTGAAATAGACTATAATGTAGTCAAAATATTTTATTCCAAATAATTATAAATAACACTTTTACGTGTTTTAATAATAATTTTAAATAAGAAAAGATAAAAAAAATAATCACTTTTATAAATAATGTTAAATAATGTTACAGTATGGATATTATCAAAAATTAATAAAATATCGATAACATATTAATAATTGATAATTAATTTTAATTCTCAGTGAATTACTTAGAATTTTGCTATTTTTCTCATGATTTATATTATCTCATATATTTCGATTAAGCTGTACATAATATTCACTGATCGATCTCGAAGCACAATATTCTTTCTCTTTGAAAATGTACTTGATTATTAAAGTTATTAGTTAAAATTTTAACGTACATATCTTTAAAAATTACAATACATTTTTTTTGCATATTAAAATATAATATGTATAAATATTATGTATATAAATGATATATACAGAGTATTAAAGGAAAAT